ATAAATCCATTTTATTTCTTACTCCTACTTCAGCTCTTAGGCTTACTCTCGGTGAATCAAAATGCCATCAATCAGTGTTACAAATATTTCAAAAATTATGCCCATATTTCAGCTTCCTTACACCAAAAGCTAGAAGTTGGGGCTCTCCCTTACTCCTTACTCCACGTACTGTAGACCAGCGCTAACGCTGGGCTGGTACTGTATGGCAATAATTTTCATGCGATCTCTGTCATTCTCGCATCAATTATACGAGCCAGATCGACACAGGTGATTATAGATGCGCATATTTTACAGTGTCACATGACGGCGATACCGACTTATGCCTGTATGAAGGAACGTAATCTGTGCAAGTTCACTCTATGCGCCGTCATCAGCATGCTGATCTGCTACGGCACGTACAGCGTAATCGGTTATTTCGGATACGCCACGTTCGGCAGCGGCAAAGTCCCGAGTGATATCCTGCAAGGCTACACCGATAAGAGCGCCATGGTGACAGTGGCGATAATCGCAATCGCGGTCAAGAATTTCACCACTTATCCCATTGTGCTGTACTGCGGCCGGGACGCGCTTCTCGGCATCTTCGACGTGAGCCTCGACCGAATTGGCGTCCGCGTGATCGTTACGTTAATCTGGTTCGCCTTGTCGCTGATCATTGCCATTCTGGTGCCGGATATCTCACCGGTCATCAACTTGATGGGCTCGCTGTCCGCAATGTTCATTTTTATGCTGCCAGGCATCTGCCTCATGCAGAGCGTGTTCCTTAGCGACCCGGAGCTATACTTTAATAAGAACCGCCTGTTGGTCGTCTTCGCGATCTTCCTGACCGCGCTCGGAGCCTTCGTGTGCGGCGTTGTGTTTATGGAGGCTCTTCAGGATCTACAGAAGACGCCGGTCAAACCGCCGTTGGTCACCGGCTTCAGACAGTTCAGAGAGAGTCTGTGCGTATGATAACAGCAGTCACTCGAGATAGACGTTAGACATTGCGTGATTTCGGAGATTTTTTTTATCACTGACAATGGCTTATTGATGGTGTGCCATGCTGTAGAGAGCAGCTCATTTGCTTAATTCGAACGAGACTGGGAAAGCTGGTTTGCAAATCGGCCATGATTTACCTTTACTTTTCGTTAACGTCACGTAAAGGTGGAAAGACATAGTTAAAGCATAAGAAAAAGACTGATATATGTGTGTATATATATATATATATATATATATACAATTTTAATTAGTAAGTTTTACCGATTAACTCATTTGCGCGCGAAACTGCGTGAAGCTGATTTTTTTGTATTTTGAATCTCTTCCATTGTTCAGATGTGCTCAATAATATACATATAAGTATAGTGTACTTGTGAATGTAAATAAAAAAAGAACTTTGTGATACTTTATACATACTACCTCTTTGTTACTCTCAATTTATTCTAGTTTTTCCTCTCACTCTCTCTCTCCCTCCCTCCATAATAGAAGAATTCTTTATATTGTACAATTAAAATTATATGCGGCAGTTTTATCGGGACTCGATGCTTGACGCATATCGTGGGAATTCAATAAATCTTTTAATACAATATATGCAATTTGCGAAACAATTTGTCACTGGATCAAGAAGTCGCTCTCGAAATTGGGAATTCGCTAGTAAAATCGTGCAACGTGTTCCCGCTTAGATCCTCAACTTTGTCTATGGTCGTTTTACAGAAGAAACATTCCCTGGTATTGAGCAGATGGCGATCTATGCAAGTGCGACACGTTTGATGATTGCACGGCTTAAATATAGCAGTGATTGGAAACGCGTAGCAAATTGTACAAGCGTTCTCATCATCACTTATCAATTTGCTATCGGGTAAGAGCACGTGACAAGTGTCAAGATACGTTATCATCTGCCTTACTCGGTTAATTTCTTCCGTCGTCACATCTTCTTGATCTGCAAAAAACAAAAAATAAAATGTGTATATACATATGTATATAAAATACTATCAATCAGGTATAATTGGGATGACGTGTAGCTCTATGTTAACACGAGTGGTTAGTAATGGTCCTCAGTTTAATTCTGGCCCTCGTCCCGTATATTTTCCCGTTAAGGGAAATTTCGAAAATTTATTGAAGGAGTTTAAGCGCCTAGTGTTGGATTCAGTGTTTAATCAAGATTAAGCATGAATTTCAAGGAATTTTTAGAGATATCACGCCGCTATAACCCAACGGTTGAAAGGAGTTCCCATAAAAGGGCAAACTTAAAAAAATCAGATATAACTTAAAAGATACTTACAGTTCAACAGCGAGAACGGTTTTACATTTTTCGTCTTGGTATTTTTCAATTTTGTTTCACCCAAAACAAAATGCAGAGAACTAATCTGGAAGCTCGGTTCTGTCAATAAACTCCGTGTAATTTTGGGCACTTCAATCGTTGATTTTGCTGATAAGAAACAACATAGTTATCAGAGGCTCATTTCCCGTGCAAATAATTTTCTCGCAAGTCTTGTAATTCACCTGCGAAATCTGTCATCTCCTTCTCGAGAAGAGCCAACAGAATACCAATAACGGCAGCCAATATAGGAAAGTGATCTATAGATTCTAAATCCGGTATTTCAAGTAGCATCACGTGTTGAAAACAGTTTGTTTGCGAGCTCATCCTGTTCAACACTTGACAAAGTAACTGAAATCACGACACGATTGTACAATTCGAAGGATCGATCGCGAAATAACATTCTCACTCACTTGACACAATCTGGCCAGTAAAATTTCGCTGGAAGACTGCGTGGGATCGTTGAAAACGTCCCGAGCCACCGTGGAAATCATCTCTAACACCCGGAGCAGCGAGATAGCTAGGTCGAAGCAGGTGGCGCAGATTTTCAATTGTCTCGACTCAATAAACACTCGCTCCGGCCTGGACGACACGTTATGAATCTCTTGTACCATACCGATAAACTCGGAGAATGCCCAATTTAATTGATTCAAGAGCGAATTCAGGAATGGCGTGGTCACCTGCGGATTGCCCATCAACACGTCCCTCACGTGTGCTTGATATATCGCCGATGGACAAGATTCTGAAACGATTAACAGATCCTAAAGGTACCGTCAAAGAAAAGACATTTGTCAAACGTCGTCCAAAGAACTTGTCACACTTTAATAACATAGATTTGATAAGAAAGAATGTTTTACGTTAAAAAGAGGATGACATACTTATGAGCTGATAGACGGACTCCTGTTGTTTCGTGCCGATCTTAGAAAGGTGTGGGCTCTTCTCGTAGCGGAAGGCGAAGCCGTTACCCTGCCAAAATCTGAGCAGGACCCAATTGGACTGCGCCCACGCTCTGTTCTCGTACGGTTTCAACAGACTCGTGACGATTTTTATCCTGCTCTCGCGCGGCACATTCTCCAACGCCTCCAGCATCAGTGGATTCGACACGAAGCCGGCGAGCGCGAGTATCAGCACGTCCTTAGAATTGGCGTGTACTATGCGCGGATCGAGAAAGTGGTCGCACAAGAACTCGGCGACGTTGCACAGCATCGTGCGGTAATCCGGGATCTTCTCGATCAGCGCGGTGGGGTGCATGTGGGCGCGCAAACTCACGCTCAGATCGGACAGCGTCTCCAGATAGAAATCGGGCACGAAGCTGAACATATTGCCCTGCTGGCTGGCGGTCTGCAGGGTCAGCGTGACCACCTTGAGCAGCCAGGCGAGATGTGCCTGCTTCTCCTCCGAGTACACGGCGGCCCTGATCCACGCCATGTGCCTCGCCTGCTCGGACAGTTTCTTACTAAATATGTCCGTCGTGCGGAGCAGTTCCTTCTGTATCGCATCCGCATCGGGATCTTTCCCCGGGATTGTCTCCCGCTCGATGTGCTCGAGCCTCGCCTTGGTGTCGGCGATCGCGCTAATATACGCGGACATACTGTCGCGCAGACCAGCCACCTTGGCCAGCTGCTTTTTCGCTGCTACATGGTAGAACAAGATAATACCGTCTAATAATTCCATCAACGAGATCGCTGGATCTGCAGGACCGTGACGTATTGGAGTCCTATCTTCTCTAGTATGCGAAAAAAATCCAAATCTCTCCAGTATCATAGAACTACCTTGGCTTGCCGATGCCGCCGGCGGGTTGATGTTAATTAAGCGAGGATAAACGGCCGCGGGTATGGCCACGGGCAACTCGACTAGTGGTCTCACGGCCGCGCCGACTAAGGCAGCGGCATAAGTATTACTTGACGCTTCATTTGTCGCCGTTGCAGTACGCTGCTGCTGTTGCTGCTGCTGTTGCTGTTCCATAGCAACGATTACCTCATGATCCGGACCTAGGAGGCGTAGCAATTCGTTCCTGAATGTCTTGTTTAAGTGGGTTATTACGCCACCAAGTCTGTCGATTCCAGAGTAATTGATCGATGCATCGTAGAACGCCCTGCCCATTCCAATTTATAAGGAAATGCTATTACGTAAATTAAACGTCGCTCAATAATATTTGCGAATTATGATAATAATGATATACGAAGCGGGTGCTTATGTATTCGGAAGAAAGAAGTAAAAAAAAAGAAGAGGAAACTTTAAGTCCTCAGATACATACCAATGTACAAATGCGCTCGTTGAAACACGATAAATGAAAGTAGCGATGCAAGCGTTCAAGCGTTTCGATATTATTTTAGTAATACGTTTAAATATATGTATACAAGCTTCATGTGAGAGAAAACAATACATTGAATGGAATTGAAGGTTTCTACGTTACTAGAGAGTCGATTCCTCTCGCAAGTGTGTGTCTGATAATTCTCGGCAATGCCTTTATCACCTGCAGGGTATATAGACGGGGCTTGTCCCAATTTCAGTGTCCCATAAAATTCTGAATGCGACCAGAAGTCGGTGAAAGCAACATAATGTGATCGGCAGGGGTGTCTGCAGAATTGGTAAAGTGTCTGCAGGTTTGTTGACTGAAGGCTCGATAATAATCGCGCGTAGTCTCCGTATTTATTACTGCACGCATAGTATACTTACGCGACTGGATATTAGGTTCTCTTGAACGAAACGTTTGAACTTTTTCAAAAAGATCGCCCTCGACGTCGGTCTCTTGGCTGTGCCATCGGTATTATCTAACAAAGTGACTAGTAACTTGACTTGCAATGCCTCTACCTCTACAAAAAAACACAAAGTCTAACATTACTATTTTGCAGATAAAATACTGAGATAAATTAAACAACGTTTTCTTTTACTTAGTGTCCTTAACATAAAATAAAGCAAATATCTTTTAAATTTCGTCTATGTTGCCATTATCAAATAAATAAGTAATTTCGTCGACCACGACTGGCTAATTCATTAATAAAACTATGTAAACAATTGTAATTGACGATTGTAAAATGCCTTGAAAGTTACAAGCATTTAGTCATACCGGATATGGCAGTCTTGATGCGTTCGCAGGCGTACAGGTAACTGGTCTTGTTGGTCTCGATCGACGGGTCCAAGGGATTCGTCTCCCACCAGACCTTCTCCACCACGTCCGTCAAGCCGCCCTCGTCGAGCGGTTTCACGTGCACAAAGTTGGCGAAGCGCACGCGATCGAATAACAGATGTTGCAGAAAGTACTGCCGCGTAACGGTGTGCTGACAGATCTTGGTCAGCAGCGTCAGGCTCTTGCACTGATCCGGGTACTCGAGTAACAGGGAAACGTGTCGGAAGGCGGAAAGTAGATGGAGCACCGTGCTCTCCAAGCACATCTTGATCTCGTGCTCCTCCAGGAACGTCCACAGCAAATCCAGACAGACGATCGACCGCGTGTCGCGATTATTCGAGTAAGCGGATCTCGTCGTGGAGTCGTCGGCGCTCAGACTGTAGAGCGTTTGCATGAACGGCACGAAAACTGTCTCGGTGACGTAAGGAACGGTGAGCAGCGGGCCAACGTGTTTCAGGATGGATCTCGCTAGGCACATGAGAAACGCCTGGGCGCTCATTGTCTTATCCTCCAGCAGAACGTTCTGCCTGTCAACGTTCTTGGAGTATTCCAGCAGTTCGATCACCTGCGATAGCCACTGAAAGAGAAGCATGGCTTGGCGAACCTGAGCCAACGGAGGCGCTTGCAGAGGCTCATAGTCCTCCGCGGGGTATCTAAACGGCGTGGAGCCAAAATTCGCCGTCAGGTTCTCGGTGAAGGCCAAGCTGACGGTGGGGAAGTACGCGACCCCGGCGCCCGTCGGTATATTCTCGAACGCCCTGCCCAGACTCCTACCGTTCCTGTAGAAATCTATCGTGCCGTCGTCCACGTCCAGCGCGCAGCCGATGATGTCTCCCGTTAACCAGGCTTCGCCGTACTTGTGAGTACTCACGTTCCACTTTCGCACGCGATTTCCGTCATAAGCGTACGAATTTGGCGTGTCCCCTGGAGAAGGTAGAATCTTAGTTGAAAACCGACGAACGGTAGGGAAGGCTAATGCGAGCCGTACGAAAAGATTGAGTCGTAGTCTTTTTTCTCATCGGCAATGACTAGAGAAAGCGGGTGACTATTTTCTAACAAGATTTCAATCGCGAGTGTGGAATTTGTTTGTTGGTATCTCAGTTAAGTTCTTAGTTAAATTTTCGCCAAACTAAAGTAATCTACACGAGTGCCAGTAAGATGACATTCGTTGGAAAATATCGCAAAAATGTGACGCAAAACCGTCGGCTTTTGCGGCAACGTTTCAACGTACCGACGCCGTACTGCTGATTAAATTTACATTGAGCCGTGCCCCATCCCACTTGCATCACCCCTTTGGACCCGAGCTGGACCTCGTACATCCACTTTCCCTTAAACACTCCCGTATTAGCTCGCATCGTGCTAAAGCTGCTCTGCGAATTGACACTTAGTCTGTCAGGGGAGACGATGCAGAGGCCGCGGTGCATAGATACGTCGAACCTAACGTAATGGGGACCTATGCGACCCTCTCTATTGTCCTCAGAGTTCCATGTGTCGATGTAGAGATTCAACAGGGACTTTCTGATGTGCTCGTTCACCCAAGTCAAACTCTGGCACGATCTGAAACAGAATATTCGCCTTGGCAATTGAAATAACCGTCCGCATAGGTAGCTGATGTCGCTAGCCATCACTTTTGACCTCGCAAATGCCTGCAAACTAGCATCTTTGCCGGCGTTTAATGTCACAATGACGACAAATCAGCTGGCTAACTGGGTAACAGAAGACGTTGCTTTATTATAGTTAGAAATTTTAAGGGCGTAAACGGAAGAATATAATGTCTACAATGAGTTGTTGGTCAGACGTCAAAACTATAATACATGCCAGTCTTTTCTCTCCCACCCACAAAGAAAAAGGATCGACATATAGTTTCGACCAACAACTCGCTGTAGACCGGGCCGTAAAGATATTTACATCGTGTTCTACACGATTTTGACGCACTCGCGTCAGCTCTTTTCAGTTACGCCGTTGCGCGTCTCCCAATTTGGCGTAAGGCGAAACGGGAGAGGAGTCTTTAAAGCAGGCTTACACGAGAATGAGGAAAACAGCGAGACGCAATTTAACCGAAAGAGGAGGGACCAGACTCTCCTCCGGACAACAAGGATCTCCGAATTCCTACCTGGATTGCTCGAGATGCTCGTCCTTAGGCTTACCAGCGGCGGCGCCGCGCTCGGCGGTGACGGGGCTCGCGCCGAAGATCCTGCACAGAATCTCGTCCGCGTCCATCGCCGCTCTCGTTCACCCGGGGATTTACGTCGAGCGGGGCAGGTGCGTCGGGCAGGTTAATCCGCGCCGCGACGCGGCATCGCCGGCCCCCCCGCGAGCGTGCGGCGGCGACCCCCTCGCGAGCGAGTCCCTGGTCCGCGCGGCAGCGGCGAACGGCGACGGGATATAATCGATAGACGACGGCCCTCGCGGCGGTCTCGAGCTCATGCGAGCGCGTCCGCCGACGTCGCCATGTCAGCGCACGAGCATGCACGACGACGAAATACGCGAGTACCCGCTGATAACCACTGATACCCACCACCGGCAACTTCTCGTTATTGACGAGGATTACGGGGGGGGAGAGCGGGGTGAACCGGAGCGGAGCGCAGCGCGCCGCTGTGGCCTGGCCTTCACGGCGAGGAGGGGGAGGGATATCAGCTGATGCATCAGCCGATCGCGCGCGCCGTGCCGCAGCGGATTGCAGTGCCGAGCGAACGATCTCGAAAAAGGGGCGCCAGTGAAAGATGCCCCGAAGTCGTAAAGTTAGCGACTAAAAGAGCGGCCGAACGAGACTTTGGAATTATTACTGTTAACGTTGAGTCCCTATAAATGTCAAAGACGCTGTGAATAAAAGAAGTTGTTTGTAAGAGAAGTTGTCACGCGCGCTTGCGTTGTCCTAGTCATTAAAAATTTTACAACTTTGGTACGAAACATTTTTCCTAAAATCCATCGTTTGTTTACGAGACGTTCAACTGCTTTCGAACTTTTAGGACTTGTACACTGTATTTATATGGAACATTGTTTTCCGGATTCATTATCTTTCTTGGTATTGATAGAGAAGTGAGATTACCGTAGGAAAGATATATTAGCTCTTACCTGTTGAGAGAAGAGCGTGAAATAAATGCCCGGTCTTGGCAAAGCTTCCTTTGGTACGAGACGTTCATTCTTAAGTAACTTGATTGTCGATAAACTAATATATGAACAAAATATCATGCACGCTAAATTAAAAATTCTTCCTCTTGAAGCCTGTTTTTTTCTTCTTCTTCCTCGAGTATTAAGGGGATGCTGGAGTGATTCTGCACTTTTGCACCTTTCAAACTTAAAAACTGTCAGTTCGCGGAAACATTTGTGTAATATACAAATTAAATGGCTTACGTGTACAGATCGAAAGCAGCTTGCTATTCCGGCCAAATGAAAGAACAATATGGCATCACTGAAACTAAGTTTGTAA